GTGAGTGGAGGACTGTATACACTGTGCTAGTGCAAAAGATGAGGTTATGTGGAAGAGTTGGGATGTAGCCGGGTTATTGACGTTAATAGGGATATTGAAGTCTCTGAAAATGATAGTGGGTAGCTCAGAGGAAAGTAGGGTAGCCAGGTGGAGAAGTCATCAAGAAAGCGGGACACAGGTCCAGGAAGCCAATAGATCACTGCAATCCTCAGAGAGATCGGAGAGAACAGCTGGATGCAGTGGGTCTCAAAAGAAGAGAAGGATAGAGAGGGAGGACTTGAAAGGTGCTCAGTGGTGACAGAAGCAAACCAACCCCACCACCTTTCCGACCACTGGGTCTGGGTGAGTGGGTCCAGATGAGGCCTCCATAGCAGAGTACTGCGGGGGAGGCAGAATCTGCTGCTTGGAGCCAGGTTTCAGTGATTGCTAGAAGGTTAAGGGAGCGGGAGACAAAGAAGTCATGGATAGAGGTGAGCTTATTGCAGACCGAGTGGGAGCTCCAGAGAGCACATGAAAATGGGAGGGTGGTTTTGGGGAGCACGGGGACAGATATTAGATTGAGGGGATTGCGGCAAGTCCTGGAAGACAGAGGATGTCTTGTGTGTGGGCAAAGTAGTGGAGGACCAGGGTTTGTCTGATCTGTCTACCCCGTTATAATCTAATTCTTCCCCCATTTAAATACTCCTCCAGCCTTCTCATAAACCTCTCCCTTAGCACAACAGACCCCCTTCCATTTAGGTGCAAACCATCTCTAGCATATAAGTTGCACCCCAATGAAAAGTCAGCCCAGTGCTCTAGAAACCCAAATCCTTCCCTCTTACACCAGGTCTTCAGCCATGCATTGAGTTCTCTAATCTCCCCCTCTTTCCTGAATTGTGCATGGCACAGATAATAGCTCAGAGAATATCACCTTGGAGGTCTTTCCCTTGAACTTGCAGCCTAGTTCTTTAAATTGATTCTTAATAAGCCTCCACCTTCCATGTAGTCTATCATTGTTTCCAACATAAACCAAGACAGTTGGGTCATGCCCAGCCTTTCCAGTAATTTAACAACCTGGTCCATCACACGCCAAACCCTGGCACCAGGGAGACAGCAAACCATTCGGTTGAGAAGATCCTGAAGATAAAATTATTCTATCAGTCCTTCTGATTATAGGATCCCTTACTACCACCAGCTGTCTAGGCCTTCCTGCACAACCCTCACCACCCATCCTAGATGGTCTGCCCTCCTGGCTGTTAAGGATAGCAGTGACATCCAAGGCTGCCACCCATGAGCTTGCCACCCCATTTACACCCAACTTGGTAAATCTGGGTACACAAACCCAGGGCCAGCCTTCCTTTTCTCTGAGCCGCTACCACTCCCTCTCGTTACAGTAACCCATCTTCCTACCTGATAATCCTGATCAGCCTCTCCCACATCAATCCCATTAGCTACCTGCTCAGAGAGAAGACCCCTTTTAAGGTAGTCGGTTCTGCCCAGTGTTGCAACTTCCTCCTCCAGATCTCTAACGCAAGTTTCCTAAAGGGCAACCCGCTCACATCTGTCACAGCAGTATGCATCCTGGAGCTGTTGCTCCATACATGTGGTACACTGTACAAAACCTTCCACCCTGCTAGCATACATTATCCCAGTTACAATATTAACAAAATATCAGTTGTCACTTACAGGTTAATAGACTCCTGTTTTGAACTCCACTTAATCAAAGGTCCAGCAAGCAAAATACAGGCAAGCTCAGAGTGAGCTCTACAGCAAGTTATATAGGACCTGTATCATCTGTGACCAATTAACCCCTCCCCTTAACCACTTGAGCTCCAGAGGATTTACCCCCCTTAATGACCAGGCCTCTTTTTGCTACTCGGCGCTGCACTAATTCAACTGATAATTGCGTGGTCATGCAATGCTGCACCCAAACGAAATTTACGTCTTTTTCACACAAATAGAGCTTTCTTTTGGTGGTATTTGATCATCTCTGCGCTTTTTATTTTTCACGCTATAAACAAAAAAAGGCCAAAAATTTTAAAGAAAAACAATATTGTTTACTTTCAGCTATAAAAAATATATAGTAAACTCAACGACTACTGCAGCTGTGCTCTGTCACTGTTTGTCGCCGATCGCCGGGACATAGCCGCTAAGGAGCGGCTGTGACCCGGCGACTGACATCTGCGGCGGTGATCCACGGGACAGATAGGGCGGTGGCGCGTCTCGCACGTGCCCATTTGTTTACAAAACACACGTTTAAAAACGTGATTTTGCCTGCGAGTGCCGCCCTGCCGCCATATATGTACAGTGGCTGGGCGGCATGTAGTTAATTAGAAAGCTAAAGGAAGACAAGGAAAAGAAAAAAAAAAAAGATATATTAAAAGTAACAGAAAAAGTGATTTAAAACAGTAAAAGAAAATAGAAAATACAAGCACCAGCAATCAAAAGTAAAACTTTTTCACTCTCCACTCAAATTTCCAATTCTTTTTAGCTATCAGCCAGCAAAAAAATGCCAGACCATGAGGACAAGGCCTGTGTGTATATGTGGAAAGTGTAGTCCTGTGTGTGTAATGAGGACACGGCCGTGGTGTATGTGGGAAGTGTAGTTCTGTGTGTGTAATGAGGACACGCCCGTGGTGTATGTGGGAAGTGTAGTCCTGTGTGTGTAATGAGGACACGACCCATCTGTATGTGGGAAGTGTAGTCCTGTGTGTGTAATGAGGACACGGCCGTGGTGTATGTGGGAAGTGTAGTCCTGTGTGTGTAATGAGGACACGGCCGTGGTGTGTGGGAAGTGTAGTCCTGTGTGTGTAATGAGGACACGACCCATCTGTATGTGGGAAGTGTAGTCCTGTGTGTGTAATAAGGACACGGCCGTGATGTATGTGGGAAGTGTAGTCCTGTGTGTGTATGTGGGAAGTGTAGTCCTGTGTGTGTAATGAGGACACGGCCGTGGTGTATGTGGGAAGTGTAGTCCTGTGTGTGTAATGAGGACACGGCCGTGGTGTATGTGGGAAGAGTAGTCCTGTGTGTGTGTATGTGGGAAGTGTAGTCCTGTGTGTGTAATGAGGACATGGCCGTGGTGTATGTGGGAAGTGTAGTTCTGTGTGTGTAATGAGGACACGCCCGTGGAGCATGTGGGAAGAGTAGTCCTGTGTGTGTAATGAGGACACGGCCGTGGTGTATGTGGGAAGTGTAGTCCTGTGTGTGTAATGAGGACACGCCCGTGTAGTATGTGGGAAGTGTAGTCCTGTGTGTGTACGTGGGAAGTGTAGTCCTGTGTGTGTAATGAGGACAAGCCCGTGGAGCATGTGGGAAGTGTAGTCCTGTGTGTGTAATGAGGACACGGCCGTGGTGTATGTGGGAAGAGTAGTCCTGTGTGTGTAATGAGGACACGGCCGTGGTGTATGTGGGAAGTGTAGTCCTGTGTGTGTAATGAGGACACGCCCGTGGAGCATGTGGGAAGTGTAGTCCTGTGTGTGTACGTGGGAAGTGTAGTCCTGTGTGTGTAATGAGGACAAGCCCGTGGAGCATGTGGGAAGTGTAGTCCTGTGTGTGTAATGAGGACACGGCCGTGGTGTATGTGGGAAGTGTAGTCCTGTGTGTGTAATGAGGACACGCCCGTGTAGTATGTGGGAAGTGTAGTCCTGTGTGTGTACGTGGGAAGTGTAGTCCTGTGTGTGTAATGAGGACAAGCCCGTGGAGCATGTGGGAAGTGTAGTCCTGTGTGTGTACGTGGGAAGTGTAGTCCTGTGTGTGTGTAATGAGGACAAGCCCGTGGAGCATGTGGGAAGTGTAGTCCTGTGTGTGTAATGAGGACACGGCCGTGGTGTATGTGGGAAGTGTAGTCCTGTGTGTGTAATGAGGACGAGCATGTGGGAAGTGAAATCCTGTGTGTGTATGTGGGAAGTGTAGTCCTGTGTGTGTATGTGGGAAGTGAAGTCCTGTGTGTGTAATGAGGACGAGCATGTGGGAAGTGAAATCCTGTGTGTGTATGTGGGAAGTGAAGTCCTGTGTGTGTATGTGGGAAGTGAAGTCCTGTGTATGTGGGAAGTGAAGTCCTGTGTATGTGGGAAGTGTAGTCCTGTGTGTGTACGTGGGAAGTGAAGTCCTGTGTGTGTACGTGGGAAGTGAAGTCCTGTGTGTGTACGTGGGAAGTGAAGTCCTGTGTGTGTACGTGGGAAGTGAAGTCCTGTGTGTGTACGTGGGAAGTGAAGTCCTGTGTGTGTACGTGGGAAGTGAAGTCCTGTGTGTGTACGTGGGAAGTGAAGTCCTGTGTGTGTATGTGGGAAGTGAAGTCCTGTGTGTGTATGTGGGAAGTCCTGTGTGTGTGTGGGAAGTGAAGTCCTGTGTGTGTATATGTGGGAAGTGTAGTCCTGTGTGTGTAATGAGGACATGCCCGTGGAGTATGTGGGAAGTGTAGTCCTGTGTGTGTAATGAGGACATGCCCGTGGAGTATGTGGGAAGTGTAGTCCTGTGTGTGTAATGAGGACACGGCCGTGGTGTATGTGGGAAGTGTAGTCCTGTGTGTGTAATGAGGACATGCCCGTGGAGTATGTGGGAAGTGTAGTCCTGAGGTGAGCCGCGCTCTGCGCCTGTCTCTCTCTCTCCTCATCATCAGCACTTCCTGCTCCTCCCCCCGCCTCCCGCTCTTGCCCAGCCCTCACTCAGCTCCAAACTGAAAACAAAACTTTTCCTTTCGGAGTTGTTTCGTTTCTGGCCGCCTCCCCTCCGACAGACACCGGATCGCCTCGCCCTTCCTCCCGATGAGGGTGAGCGGTTGGTTGTAGCGGGTGGTGCAGCCATGCCGATGTGGGGTTCCGCTGTGGCTGAATAGCAGCAGGGGGCCCTGTCTGTCAAACGCACCTGGCGCTGCACGTGGAGCTGTGTGTGGCCCTATGTGCCCCTCTCATGCCCCCCACTGGAGGATCCCTGCCACACGGCCCCTGTCCGCCCCCTCTGCCATGCGGCTTAGATAAGAGGAGAGCAGAGAGACGCTTGTTTGTACTCGGCACTCGGAGATGGAGGGGCCCCGGGTGAAGGGCGCAGAGGCTGCCCTCAGCGGTGCCAGCAAGGAGGAGGCTGCCATGGACACTTACCTGAAGTCTAAGGGGCTGTACAGGAAGAAGATCGCTAAGGACGGCTCCTGTCTGTTCCGGGCAGTGGCTGAGCAGGTACTCCTCACACTGATCCACCTTTATTATGCCTCTACACTCTTCTGTCCTGGAATGCTGGAGGCTTCTGTATTACACCTTATCCACACTTAGGCCTCCATAAGGGGCCAGCTTAAGGTACACTGATGTATATGTTCCATGTAGGGTGTTCAGTTTATTTCAGTTGAGGCACAGCTGTTACTCCCAGTGTGACATCGATGTGGGCGTGTCCCTGACCTCATACCTGCCATGGCACCCACACAGATGTCATATCGGGAGCAGAGGCAGTGCCCATACAGCTACTGCATCCCAATTGACATGGACTTCCTGCACGTGAATGCTCAGAACGCCTGTACATCCCATACAGGCAAACCGCAGCCCTCACATGGGTGTACACTGAGGGCCGCTTCACACTGTGATCACTGGGGAACACATGCTACGTTCTTGTGTGGTTCCCATATGGCACAATTTTGCAGGCTATTCTTTTGACGAGATGACAAGTGTATGCGAATAGCGTCAACCACTCAGCCTGTACAAAGCAATGACAGAGAGTTGCCATGGCTGTTCACACATACCTGTGTAGGTATTTGCGGTTAGGGATGGATGAGCAGCCCTGGATACAGACAGCAATGAGCCAATGTTTAATGTCACCAGAGCAGAAACGAGGAGTACATTTTTCAGTGAGGGCATGTGTTCTGGTGTCTAAAGCTGGTCATAGGTCAACTAGCTCAGGGCTTAAAATTTCAAGTCCTGAGCTACTAGCCAGGCCTTAAGAGTTAGTCGCCACCAACAAACACACACAGACACCTGTACACACACACACACACACACACAGACATGTACATATACACATACAGAAACGTACACACACACATGTATACACACACAAGCATGTACAGACACGCATACACACAGATACATGTAAATACACATGTACATGTATACACACACATGTACATGCGCACACACGCATGTACATACAGACATATGCATACACAGACATATACATACACGCAGACACATGTACAGATACACACATGTACATGCATACACAAACGCACATATGTACACGTTCCCTCCCCAAATACAAAGTTGCAGTACTTCGTTGTTCACTCACGGAGCCAGGTACTGCACTCTAGGGGAGCAGAGAGCACAGCACACACTCCTTGCTTTGCTTTCACTGTGCTCAGCTATTGAGCAGTCTGACGGCTCCCAGTGCGAGTGAAAGATCCGGCCTGAGCTCTGAGCCTGCTCAACAAGACGGCCCTGGGGGACACACTCGCCCCCACCATAATTTCCACTCGCCACCGGTGAGCAGGCGAGTGGAAATTTCAAGCCCTGAACTAGCTGATTAAAAAAATCCCCCCCCCCCCCCCCCATCCACACATTCAAGGTGGATGGAGGAACTTCCCCTTCTCCCTGCTGCGCTATTGTATTCTTCGTTGCCAGAATACACTGATCAGTGCTGTAGCTGATTGGCTGCAAGTGGCAATCCAGTGATAATATACCAACAGTCCCATTTGGGAGGAGTTGACCATTAGATCAACTCCTCTTGAATGGGGACAGTAATACATGGACGAACATTCCGCTGAATTTAAAGTCCATGTATGGCAAGCTTTAGACAGTGATTATCTACACCCTCAATTCTAAAACAAAGTTGAGATGCTGTGTAATATCTGCACAAAAAACAGAATGTAATGAATTGCAAATCTGATAAACCCCAGATTTTATTCACTATAGAAAACATATCAAATGTTTAAACTGAGAAAATTTACCATTTTAAGAATAAAATTAAGTAATTTTGAGATTAATGGCAGTAGCACAACTCAGAGGTGGGACAGAGCCATGTTTACCACGATGCAGCATCCCCTCTTCTTTTAATAACACTCTGTTAATGTCTGGGAAATGAGGAGACCAGTTGGAGATTTGGGAGAGAAATGTTATCCTATTCTGGCCTGATATAGGATTCTGACTCTTCAGCAGTCCTGGATCTTTTGTCGTATTTTTCATTTCAAGATGTGCCAAATATTTTCAAATTGTGAAAGGTCTGGATTGCAGGCAGGCCAGTAAGCACCAAGACTCTTCTACTAGGAAGCCATGCTGTTGTCATAGATGCACTACCTTATTTTTTCTTAAAATGGTACAGTTTGTGATGCATACTAGCACATTATGACATTACCTTTCAAGGGGCCGGGAAGTTTTTTTTTCCTCCATTTACTAACACTTTGATGTATGTATTTTGTCCAGTTGGGGTGGGGGGGGGGGGTGCAGAAGAATGGCAACAACTGTAATGATAGATCTTCTTTAATAGCGTCATCAAGATGATGAAACTCTGACAGGTGGGTGCTTTAGATAGACATCATGGGAGACTGCATGTTAAGCTATCAATGACCTAGAACTGATTTGCAGAGCACGTGTCTACTGGCTGCATGTTTGTTCTGGATCTCTAACTTGCTATTTGGTGAAGCCAGAATCAGGATTTTAGCCTTGAAGCCTGCACCTTTAAAACCAAGCCAATAAAATCATCTCCTATATATCTGCACTCCAGTATTTAAGCAGCTGAAGCCTAGGGCAACTCATACATTGATCATTTTTTGTGTTCAACCAGCTAGTTGAATGAAAAACAAATGACCCCCATTCACACATTTGAGGTGAATGGGGGAATCTTTCCCACTGTGCTATTGTGTTCTGATGGTGGGGAGCCCTCCTCACCGTCAAAACACACTGATCAGTATTGCCAGCTATAATTGGTGGCACTGACCAATCGGGAAATACCTGACAAGGTGGTTGTAATGAAGTTGATTAGTAGACAGACTTCTGTGCAACCACCTTCCCTGTACATTGCTTGAAATTTGGCTGTACACATATATATACATATATATTGTCCCTGACATCCTTGGACAGCTATTTGGTCTTTGCCACGGTGGAGAGTTTGGAATCTGATTGTTTGATTGCTCCTGTGGACAGATGTCTTATACAGGTAACAAAATGGGATTAGCAGCACTCCCTTTAAGAGACTGCTTCTAATCTCAGCTTATTACCTGTATGAAAGACCCCTGGTTGCCAAAAATCCTGCTGAATGATAGGGGATCAAATACTTATTTCCCTCATGAACATGCAAATCAGTGCATAATTTGTTAGACATGCATTTCTGTTGAATTTTTTGTTGCTATTCTGTCTCTGTGTCACAATACACCTACCATTTGTTTTTTTTTAGACTGAATATTTCTTTGTGAGTGGGCAAACATTCAAAATCAGCAGGGGATCAAATCCTGTTTTCCTTCACTGTAAACCCTCCTATCCTTTACAGCCAAGGAACCTGCCATCTTAGCCTTTGTTTGATCTGCATGTACCATGGTGCTGCACATGTGAACAGTTACGATGATACCCACTTGATGGCATGACAATTCAGTTGAGAGTACAAGTAACTGTGATAGTTGTCATTCGCTACATGCCTTTAAAGTAATTGGAATTAGTTCTGATATAAATCTGATGGTTTAGTTCTGCTTTAAAGTGGCACTAAACCTACAAGAATAAAATCTGCTTGTACAGTCAGGTCCATAAATATTGGGACATCGACACAATTCCAACATTTTTGGCTCTATACACCACCACAATGGATTTGAAATTAAACAAACAAGAACAAGATGTGCTTGATGGACAATGACCCAAAGCATAGTGCAAAAGCAACCAAAGAGTTTTTTAAGGAAAAGAAGTGGAATGTTATGCAATGGCCAAGTCAATCACCTGACCTGAATCTGATTGAGCATGCATTTCACTTGCTGAAGACAAAACTGAAGGGAAAATGCCCCAAGAACAAGCAGGAACTGAAGATAGTTGCAGTAGAGGCCTGGCAGAGCATCACCAGGGATGAAACCCAGCGCCTGGTGATGTCTATGCGTTCCAGACTTCAGGCTGTAATTGACTGCAAAGGATTTGCAACCAAGTATTAAAAAGTGAAAGTTTGATTTATGATTATTATTCTGTCCCATTACTTTTGGTCCCTTAACAAGTGGGAGGCACATATGCAAACTGTTGTAATTCCTACACCGTTCAGCTGATTTGGATTTAAATACCCTCAAATTAAAGCTGGCAGTCTGCAGTTAAAGCACATCTTGTTTGTTTCATTTCAAATCCATTGTGGTGGTGTATAGAGCCAAAAATGTTAAAATTGTGTAGATGTCCCAATGTTTATGGACCTGACTGTATATGCAGTAATGCATTCTTGTCATACTCACTCTGGGACCTGAGGGGTTAATCCACAGCATTGTGTTAAAGAAAAACCCCCCAAAAAACTGGTTGTTCCTGCGAGCCTCTGATCCTCCCATCTTTCACTGTCCCCAATTCAGCTGCCGAATCTACAGAGCAGAGGTGGCAACAATGAGCATGCTCTGTTTTCTGTGTTTAAATAAAGGACATTTCCTCTGTGATCGGAGCTGTGCAGGTCACATGACTGTCACATCATACATGTGGATGTATATGCAGATGATGAATGACAGCCCACATCCTCCCTCCTTCTCAATGCCCACTAACTAGCAAAACATAGTGCTTAGGATAGTGAAAGAGATTATCATGGATGTGTAGCTCCACCCACACCATGTTGTTACTCAAGAATACCAAAGCTTGGGTTTCAGATATGTACTTGTTTGATCATTTTGTACAAGGATGTACCGATAATGTTAAAATGGAACTTTAATCAGAAACTAATATCCTGCTAGATCACTTCAGGCTGGCAGTTTAGCTATGTAAAACTTTACAAATAAATGCCTATACTGTTTAAAATCCAGTAATACACTGTATCACCCTGCTTCGCTCATGTTCAGTTGTTCTGTTTTTAGGCACCCTGTCAAAAATGTAGAGGCCAATCTGCTGACAGCCTAAAAACTGCTGCTCAATGGCTCTGGGCTTTAGCAAAATGGCAGCCTCCAGTAAGAAGAAAACAGGAACAATGCTGGAGGCAATTTACAGCACACACTAATTTTGGTAGCATAATTATTAACACGGAATGTATATTCTTTGCT